GTACAGCTTACAAATGTTTAATAAAGCATACTTAACTAACCTGACAGAGGGTTAAAAAAAAAAATAATAATAATAATTTTAAGTAGAATTATTTTAAATATTTAAGTATTTATAGTAGGGAATAAAAAAAATTGTCTTTTTTTCAAATATATTTAACTTAATAAAGAATTATATAAATTAAATTAAACTTAAAATATAAATACTTAAATATCTAAAAGTTAATTTTACTTAAGACTATTTTATAACTTTTATTATTATTATTATTTAATATTTTTATTTTAATTAAAAATTTTATATTATACACAAATTTTACAAACTAATATATATAAATTTATATATAACTTATAATATTTATGCAAATTAATATATAAAATTTTAAAAAAAAATTAAAAATAATATTATTAATTAAGTATAAATTATTTTAATTAAAAATTATTTTATAAAACTAAAATATTTATATTAATATTTTTTTATGGTTTTTAAATACTGTAAATAAATTTTACATTATAATAAATTTTAATTTTTTAAAAAATTTAGGTAATTTTTTTCGTCCCCTACTGTATATTTAAGATTTGATTTATTAATAAAAAAATAATTGACTTGACAATTGATTTATTATGAAATAAGTTACTAGAAAAATTTTTATTCAAAATTGTTTAAAAAGTATAATATTGTTTTTACGATCCAATTTAGATTAGAAACTCTGATTTTAAGATGAGTTTAAAAATGGAAAGTTTAATTTAGCCTAGATTCTACGTACTGTATATATAATACTCAAATATATTTAGTTAATTGATGTACAGTACTATCAATCTAATGGATTATTGCAAAAATAAATAAATAGTATATTATACTGTATGCCAAAGTAATACAATTTTGACAAGAAAATAAAAAGAAATCAAAATTAACACAATTTACAAAATCTTGAATTTTGTTCGTTTATTTATTTCTCGATTTTCAAAATAGAAGATTGATATTTTTCCTAATGAACTTAACAAGTTACTAAATACAGTATGTACGCATATTTAAATAATAAAGTGTTTTTTTTTTTTGTTTTAGATCTTAATCATCAAAATTATCAATCAATTTTTCGAGAATGTTTTATCAAGAAAAATTTTCGTTTATTGATATTTTGATATCAAAATACGATTGATAAAGTTCGGTATGGCCTTATTCGAAAATTATTAAAAAAATATTTTTTTAATTGCAAAAGAACGAAGATAAGTCACCACCACGAGATAGAAAGAAACAACATTATCTATATAAGATCGAAGCAATAATTAAGACCTGCTAATATGAACAAATTTTGGATTTTTTTTTTTTTTTTGAGTAATGATAATTAAATGTTCTAAACTTTATTCAGTAGTAATATAAATAATATCTGCGAAAAAAATCGTTGTTGAAAAGGCCTGGGAAACAGAGAAAGTTCTAGATAACACGCATGTTTCTTTTTTGGGGCCCGATGAGTGTAACAAAAAATTCGGGGCAGTCGCCTCACGAATTTCGATGCAACACACTTTTTTCTAAACAGTTAAAGGTGCATGCACAATGGAGGGCTTAGGCACTGCCTTGAATTAATGGGGACTTGAATAATTGTTCGAATTTTATTATTGGTAATTTGTATTACACATTTGGAATTCAAGGGAAAAATTCGTCATAAATTATTTACAAATAATCCCACCCTCACCTATGCGAAATTGAAACACCTCTTCAACACTGTGAGTATTACTGAAAATTGGTGTAACTAGCCTCCCATAAAACCACGGTTGATCCCGGAATTCTTTCCTTTTTATTTCTTCAATATCCACCGCCTCCTGTGGACTAATTAAATATTGTAGTAAAGGTTGTTTAGCTAGGGCAAATCTGTATTTGACGAATGATTGCCAAGCCAATGGTGCAATACTTGTATAGCATAATTCAGGTGGGAGTGGTTGGATGACATTCGATTTCAATGATATTCCATTGGTTGCCACCACAATTACTTTTGTCACTTGAATAATTTGTTTCAATGCGTGAACATAATAGTATGAGTTTTTTTGCTTCCACTTATCACCATCCGTCGCCTGATCTGCTTCCTCAACCTTATCTTGCCAATAGAACGAATTGATCGAGTCTATCATCAAGAAGGAGAAATCATAACCTTCGTTCTGAATGCATCCCATCATGTACTCTGGTAAAGTTAATAATGTTGCGTAAAAAGATTCGGAAATTGTTGGTTCGAATATATGAAGTTTGTGTAAAGCCATTCTCGCAATCGTTTTAATTTCTTCTTCCGATGGAATCCAATCCAAGTTCACGTCGCTTGTGCTTGTTGGCCCAATACTTGAAACAAGTGTTTTTTCATTTTTTTGGTGCGAAGGTGGTATAAGTTTGTATTTTTCTTTCTTTTCTTTTACCGCGTTACTCACTCGTTGTATCAGGTAATGCAAGATCATCGAATATAGTCTTTGAATTTTAAATTTCCCATCCAAATCAAAAAATATGACCCCTCTTCCACGACCATATAAATCAATTGACGCGTTATCACATCCATCCGATCGAGTCCAACGTGGTGGAAGAATTGTAGTAAGAATTGTATGATATAAAATTGTGGTTTTTCCACTACAGGCTGGACCATAAAGTTCTATAACGTCTCCGGGCTGAAGGATCGTTAAATCGTTAAAAATTGGTGCGGTGAAAGGACGTGGAGAATTGGTTGAAGAATTGCGAATAAAAAAATTCTCATTAGCTTTTAAGATAGCATTGTCGAGAAAAGGAAGGCGAAAGCACTCTTTCTGTGGATTGCGCGACTTTATTAAGATTAGAAAAGGAATGTTAGTATGTCCAAGGCCTCAAGAATAAAGAAAAAGTAGGTGACGTGGGAAATGCTACTTGAGATGTCGAAGGTGGAGGTTTTCTTGGTGCAAACATAATCTCGAAGGATATTAGTCACGTTGGCAACTAAATACGCACCCTTTTAAAAAGAGGGTGGTGTGGTGTCAGCGATTTCAGGGGTCCTTGTACTTTTGGTATACTATGTACTAAAAATATATATAAACTAAAAGGCTTATTAAAATTCTGTCGATGAATTCACAGTGGGTGTCGCGTTCTCTTTCATTTTTACCCGCTTTTCCTGTTTTTCTTTTTTTCTTTTCATTATCACCTCACTATAGATCGTACCTCGACAAAGTCACATCGCACGGAATTTGTTAATCTAATTTTACCCGCTTTCTATTCATTCTCTGTCCTTCGCTTGCCTTCGCGATTTTTAAATAACTGTTTGCGGTTATGCCAGCAAGTAATGAAAGCAAGTATATAAAAGAAGTATGGGCGGAAAACCTGGAGGAAGAAATGGCTGTTCTACGTGACCTGGTAGAACAGTATCCCTTCCTTGCAATGGTATGTTTTCTTCCAAATGTAACCGACAATATAGTTTTGAATGTAAACTTTTTTTTTTTTCTTGACTTTTATGAATAGGACACCGAATTTCCTGGAGTCGTGGCCAGACCGATTGGAATTTTTCGAGGAAGCTCAGATTATCACTATCAAACACTTCGATGTAATGTAGATTTGCTGAAAATTATTCAGTTGGGAATTACATTTGCAGACGAAAATGGAAATCTACCACCGGATACTTGCACATGGCAGTTTAATTTTAGATTCAACTTGGCGTGAGTGTTGGTGGAAAAGTGGATTTTTCTGATGTTATGTATAAACTAAATGTATCAAGTTGATTTTTGAATACATACAAATGCATTAGAGATGATATGTACGCTCAAGATTCTATTGATCTCCTGACAAAGTCTGGCATCGACTTTAAAAGGCACGAGGATTATGGCATAAATGTTGAACATTTTGGAGAATTATTAATTAGCTCAGGTTTTGTTCTGTTTGACGACGTGAAATGGATATCGTTTCATAGGTAGGCGATTTGCATATCTCATTCTTCAAAATTATTATATTGTTATATTTACCAGTTGCTTCATCCGAATTCCCAATAAATTGAATAAGTGGCTACGATTTTGGATATCTGTTGAAAGTGCTTACTTGTTCTCCTCTTCCAGCCGAGGAAACGGAATTCTTTGATCTGCTAAGAACATATTTTCCATGTATATACGACATAAAATATCTCATGAAGAGCTTCAAGAATTTAAAGGGTGGATTGCAGGATATTGCCGACGACTTACAGGTCAGCTATGAATAACATGATTTTATTTTCAAGAAGACAAAAGATCATAGTGAACTTATGAAGATTCTCTTTAATAGGTTACCCGAATTGGTCCTCAACATCAAGCCGGTAGCGATAGTCTTTTAACAGCGACAACCTTTTTTAAGATGCGTCAAACTTTTTTTAACGACAGGATTGATGATCAGAAGTACCTGTACGATCATTTTGACGATTTTGTTCTATTTTCATTTTTACCAATTGTTTAACGGCTGTATTAACGATAATTTGCGTATACTAAACACAAGGGGTTACCTGTATGGTCTTGGAAGCGGTATATCTACACCTAACGTGACAAATTCGACAATCGGAACACCACCAATTACCACCAATATTGTTGCCGCTACAAATGATTTGACTTTAACGTCAGAAAACAATCATTCACCACCCGTCCCAACTGAAAATTCCTTGTCGTCAGCTTCCACGTCATCACCTACAGCCGTTCCAGCTGTTACTACGAATGGAAAATTAGGCTCTTTGCACAATAATAGTAATTCTACCACAAACACTAATGGCACAACCATACCAATAAACAACAATTAAAATAATATTAATTTTTTTATCGTGAATTCCTTCACTTCTCTTGGTTTTTATTTTTTTTTATTTTTTTTTGGGGGGGGGAGATTAAAAATTCGGTGTCAAACTATGTACCAATCGGAATTAAGTATGAATGGGCTTAGATTGCTCGAAACAATTGTTAATAGAACAAGTTCTTATTTGGTTATTAAAGTGTATCATATTTATGTTATCAGCAAGTTTCACGTTTGATTACGGTTGCGTTCTATATTTTCTAGCACCCAATATCTATACGATGTCAACTGCTCAGATTCAATTACAGTAACTAGAAAATAAAGTGGATCGAGGAACTTTACCGCGGTAATGTGAATTTTAATTATCATGATTCTTTTGTCTCACATCTATCAGTTCGATTAAATTGTAAAAAAAAAAAAAAAAAGGTTCTTTTGACTTTGAAATTTTTCTCGTAACTAAAAATATATTGTGAACATTCTATAGATACAGAATATAAAGAAATTCTGATGCTTGTTATAGATGACCGGAATGGAATAACGAATTGATTCCAGAATATTTTTGTTATTTAGAAAGCTTGCATAAAATCAATTTAAGATTATAATTGTTTGATGGTAAGATACTGTAAGTTGTTGGGAATTAAATAATAGTAAAATGTAAAGAAAAGATTGTTTTCGAACCATTGATACTTCATTCATTCTCAACTTTTGCATAATAATCTTCAAATTTAATTAAAGAAGTTGTAATATATTATAAAGTTTTATTATTGTTAAATAGCTTTATTTTTTTATTATTTACTATATGATTTACAATAACAGCCAATCAAAATTTTTCAAAAGTAAAAATTTGATAAAGTAAGAAATTTTTTAACAATAATAAAACTTTAAAATTTATATACAAAAAAATTTAGAAAAAAATATACTAAATAAAACAATATTATGATAGAATATATTGTATATGAATTTTGTAATTTTTGATTGTATAATTAAGGATTTAAAAATTGACAAAGTTGAAATTTATAATAAAAACATAGTAAGTAATCTCAAATTTTTAGAAGCAACTATATACTGTATATCTAGATATATTATACTAAAACTATAACTATAACTAACTCACATATCTTTACTAATTTATGACTTTAAGTATAACTTTGAAAGTGACATATTATTTTATTTACAATTCAAGCAAATATCTTTTCAACTATTAATATCATTGTTTATAGATTACTACTGCAAATCTTTTATATAAATTCTAATTACTACTAAAACTTCAACTATTTTTATTATTTTAAATTCAATTTTTGATTATATTAAATAATTTTGAATCAATCATTTCTTTTTCTATTACATATTTTTATCTTTTATATTTTACATTTTTATTAATAAAAAGTTTTTAACTTTTTTTGACCTTATTACCATACCTATCTAATTCTAAGATTTATTTTTTATTCAATTATTTTCTTGTACTATGAATTTTATATTTCTTTTATAAAATAATTCAAGACTTTTTTTTATATTCTTTTAATTAATTTATTAACCTTAAATTTTATTTTATTTTTTTTTTTTTTAAACTAAAGTTTAAGATATTATGACTTGTTTTAAATATGATATTTATACTTTTTAATATTTAAACTTTTATTTATATTTTTTTTTTTATCTTATTTGATTTGTTTTAAGTATTTATTTATTTATTTTTCTTTTTTTTTTAACTTTCTATATACTTGTTCAATCTTTTTTGAAGATATTGTTTCACATCCTTTTTATTTATTCTTTATATACTAGAAATTTTAATGAATTTTTTATAATTTTATTTTGACATTTGTAAGTTGAATATCTTATATTTTTATATAATTTAAGTCTTCTTATATATAGTTATATAAGAATTGATAACTCATTATTTATTATTTTAATTATAAAATTTCAATACTAGATTTTAAAAATAGATTTGATATTTTTTAACTTGATATTTTTATTTTATTTTTATTTTATTTAATTATATTTATTTATAAGTGATAAATTTATTGTTTATAGTTATTAAAAATTGTTTAATAAAACTATCTATTCTTGTTAAAATTTTATTAAAATTTTAATTCTTCTATTTTATATATGAAAGTTTTATAGCTTCCTTTATCAATCTACTATTGTATTATTAAATTGATTACTAGAATATATTTTGATTTTAATTGTTAAAATCTTATTTGTTTTTTATATAATTTTTACTTTTATATATAGCTACCGGTTCTTTTTTTTTAATTATTTTTTATTTGTTATTTATAAATTAAGTATTAATAATTTTTTTTATTTAATAATATAAAATAAGTTATTTATATAGATTTTTACTTTTTTTTTTTATTAGTAATAATAATAATATTATTATTATACTAAGCTATTAGTTTTGTTTTTATTAAAAATAATCAATCTTTAACTCTTGTTTAAAACTTGTTACTTGTGCTCTCTTTTTTAATTGAACCTAAGCAACTTTTATTCTAATGTTTTTTATTATTATAGTTTTTTAATAATTTATTTAAATAAAAAACTAATTTATCTTGATTTTTTATATTTCATATTGTGATAAAAATAGAATCCAATACTATTGAATAGTTATTTTTAATCTTGATCTTCATTCTATGTCTATTTTTATCTATTTATTTATAATTATTTCTTTGATATTCTTTAATATTCTTATTGGTACTTGATTAGTATAGATCA